ACGAGAGAGATTACGTGTGCGAAATTACATACAAAGTACTCGTTCATCTTTCATTGCGGTTTAAGAGATCGGCGTGTCTAGAGCGCGCCGAATAAAGGAGGGCGGTAAATCTGTCCGGGAAGATATGAGCAGTCACGGCGGCGCAGCGCGCCGTACAGCCGCCCATTAGTCATTGGCTTAAGCCCGGGCACCGAACAGCTAATGAGGCCGGCATACCGGCGTGTCCGCGGCGATCATAGCCGGTGGACAGGCATAATAATCCGGCAGAGATTGCCGATCGGCGAAACGTCTGTCGGCGTGGCACGGTAGCCGCAGATGGAGCCTCGATATGGCTCGGTGGAGTGCGTGCGGAGGAGGGAAAGAGGGGATAGAGCGAGGGAGAGAGAGAGAGAGAGAGAGAGAAGTGAACGAGAGACCATTCCTGGAAGCCGTTAACTACGTCGTCGCGTCCTGACGCGTGTACCGATCCGTGTACCGCGGCTGCCGATTAAGGCCGCCACACGTCAGCCTGATCGATCGTCGAGAAATGACTGCGATCTATTCTGCAGTTCCGCGCCGAGCCGCGGTCTTGCCGATTACGATAGAATACGTGGGACGCGATCGCGCACACGCTTGCCTATCGTTGTCGCTCCGTCTGTCGAAGAGACGCGGAAAAAAAATGGGGACGACAGAATAAGTCGATATACATGCAGCTTTTTTTTTTTTTTTTTCTTTTCAGTTGCTTGGTTATATCGACACGAATTATATAAAAGTTAGATTCGCGTCGATCTCGATTTGATTACGCAAGAACGACACGAGCGCTCGACACACACGTTTCATCGGCAGCAAGTTGCGATAAAACGATTTTTGACGAGAACACGTTATTGACTGTTAGCTTTAATCGGTCGTGATATGTCTGACATCGCGCGCGCTCTATAGTCGAGACGATAACCACACGTTAGCCTCGAGTTAGGGTCGGGTTTTAGACGGTAAAATACGTGTCACGATCAATCGTCGTGAAATTGCGGTTTTTCGAAATTTTTCCAGAACGATATCATATCGTGCGAGAATATACGGCCGACGTTCGCCCGTACGTGGTGGTGAAAGGGATAAGACGTGTGTGGCAGGCGCACTTTACGACCGCGTGTTTCTCCATCGCGCGAGAAGCACCCTAGGCGAACGCGAGAACCGGCGAGCGTATTTCTCCCGAGATGAGTTCGGCCGATCATTTTCCCTCTCTATATGCGCATTCTCGAACGTGCCGCGAGAGATGCGTCTGCCATTTCATCTGTCAGGAAGGCTTCGGTTTCCCGTGCATACACTCGCATCATTATGGTTATGCCGCGTCCAACGAGCAAAATAACGCGCGTAATAGAGCGTCAGGTTTCTCCGTTCGTTTGTGAAACGCGCGCGTCCGCGGATATCACAATTTATATCCCGCCCCCTCCTCTCTCTCATCCTCCGGCTGAGAGTTTCGCGCGAATATAAGAGTTGGTTCTCTTTTTTTTTTTTTTTTTTGGATCTTTTGCAAAAACGAGTCGGAGACGGAGAGACAAGGAGAGCGCGCAAAAAAATAATTGTTAATTTAGTCTAACCTCCGTGGGAAAAGAAACGTTATCATTAACGACTCGGTCATTTACGATTCCGCGATAAGATCGTACAATACGCGGTTATTACATTGTTATTTCCATTCTTGTTCGCATGCCGTTATATACGCTGTCGCAAAAGGGCAGGCGCGGCGATGAATGATATAAAATGGCGCTACATATGTTCCACCACGCTGCATATTTCATTCGCCTCTTACACGACCCGACATATCGATCGCGTCGCGAGATACGTTCGGTTACTTGTACAAAAGTCGTTTCAGTTTCTCGCGCGCTCTATGTAAATCGAACCGAGTATTGTGCATGCGCGCCTCCGGTTTGTCAAAAGAAACAAAAAAAAACAAAAACAAAAAAAAAAAAACAGCATGATGTAATATAAAACTCGTTATTACTTCTCTCGTCTCGCTTGCCTTTGTAATCTCACACGGGCGTGTATATATAAGATCAAACGTGTAATCCCCTTTGGACCGATGATATTTTAATACCCTTGTTCGTGAAGTTGCGCACAACAGAGACGTGTCACAATGTGACACACACGTTCTTTCGCGAAAAGACAGCCGCGATAATTATCCCCGAATTCTCCGAATCTCTCAGATTTCGAGAACGTCCATATCCCGTTTTTTTTTCGTCCTCCTGATACTCCGTGAAGAAATTAACAGCGACAACAACCGGCCGCCTCTTCCTCTTCGAGCGCAAGAAAGAAAAAACCTCCGGGTTCACACAAATGCGACATCCGCCGACTGGGGGGCGGATCTCATTGTTGCGTCTGTATATATATCCGGGGGGAGCGATGGATGATCATCAGTCACACGACCTTCGTGCGAACGAACAAACGCGAAGATTAACCGTTAGGCGTGGACGGACGGACGGCCACCTGAAGGATCCTATCCTCGCCTCGGTGAAATTCACCGCGGTGGCGGAGGATCCGGAAAAGCGCGCGGACACCGAAACACACTCCCGTTGTGCGGTCCCGCTAATGAGAACCACCGCGGGACATTCGTCTTTCACGCCGGACACGTTGACACATTTCTGCCTCTCGACCGGAATAGAACAAGACGCACAACCGGCCGGAGCATCTGCCACGCGACAGTTCACTGTTTCCTCGCTTCCGAGACGAGCGCTTTAGCCGGTTGACGTGTGATATTCCGCCGCAGTATTTGCCTGTCTTATTCGGTAATTTATGTGTTTCCTCTACTCGCCGTTTCCTACTCACCGTCGCGCGTGACGAATCCTGACGATATCTCTCATCGAGAAAACACACGACAGGACACACGAAACGACTACTGTCGTCGCGTTCATGATATCGATCATGTCAATGCGATTCGATGTGATTATCGTTAAAACTTAAAACGAGCATTCTCGCACGCGAAGTGATCTCGTTCTTATTTTGTGAAACTGCAATAGAGAGAGAGAGAGCCGATGATAAAATCTCCTTCGTCTCGCGAACGTTTTGCGTTTCACGGATATATATATTGCGACATCGAGCGAAGTACCTTGAAGGTACGTAGTTTCAGTCTTATGATCGCTTGATCGTTATTTACAAAGTACATGAAACCCGAGGCCGCATTGTTATCACAAAGAAACACGGCACACGAGCGTCGCCGATGAAAGACGACGCCGGAGCTATTCCGGGCACAAGTCCGAGAGCGGACGGGAGATATAATTTCTCTTTATTAGATACAGCGTGTCGTTGCCGAGCGGATAAAAGCAAGGAAATAAAGCCAAAATTCTTTTGATATCGGACCGTATCGCGGACGTTGGTAGATAGACGCGGGACAAAGGGGTTGTGCGTCCCCTCCGCTTGGGGAGCGCACCGTCTCATCCTCTCTCTCGGAGACTAAACTGAGAGCGAGCGGCGGTATTAGCCGGCGGCATCTTGATATCATCCGGCGAACTTGCCAACTCCTTTATACAGACATTTATTTCCTGGCGTATCTGTTACAGCCAAGTGGCGGTCTCGCAGATTGTACTACTTTGCTTTTGCGCCGGTCCATTCCAGCGGTCCCTTCCTCTCTCTCTCTCTCTCTATATATATATATATATCTCTCTCTCTCTTTCTCTTTCCTTTCGAGGGACTTGCTGGAACCGAGGAAAACATAACCGTACGTCATTCGTTATTGTCGCGAAATAGCAATTACGTTGCTCATACGACGATGTTTCACGTACTTGGAAACCGTGAGCTTACCCCCCAAGTCTGAATCATATCCACCATCGAAACGTCGCTAACTTCATCATACACGCTTCTTTTGTTTGGCTTGAATGATACTTTGCGTAAATATCTTTTGTGTGTGTAGAGTTTTGCCAGTTTCGTGGCATTTGACGGGACGCCACGTCGTCGGTAAATATTTGTCGGTAAATGCATTTTGCATTCCCGACCCAAATAACCAATTCGAGTTTCGCATCTCTAAGCGCTTTCAGCAAAATGGCCGAGCTGGCCGTAGATCGTTCTAAAGCGGCCTCTAGCTCCTCCGGCGACCTCTCCGGCTTTATGCCAGCGAGAACAGCCAACTATACGCCACGCAAGAAAACACAAACTTTATACGTTACGGTGAAACTACCGCATCGAGGGGAACAAAAGACCCGCGCGGAGACATTACGGAAGAGGAAAATACGTGGCGACGAGCTGCTGCCGCTGCGGAGGCTCGTAAAGAGGCAGCGTCGAGCGCCGCTATAATGTCGAGAACAACGTTTACGCGAACGCCTTGCTCGCCACTTTTTTTCCTCTCCCCCAAATTGTTTCGTTCGCTAATCTTCGTACTGCTGCTAACTCCTGCAAAAATGACACGCGCGAAATTGCGGACTGCATATTTAAACAAAAAACAAAAAAAGTGTATATTAAATTAAGAACGAGATTGTCGAGATGTATCGAAATGTTTAAACGAATAAAGCGCGCGCGCGCGCGCGATAAATTATTTTCAACTTCAACTATTGACGCGGGATTTGAAATTGATAATAAATTTATTCTCGAATAACATAGCGCGTCCTCATTTTGTGCATTCTTTTTTTTTCTTTTTGCTCTTTAATTTGTCAAGAGTCCTGTTTATTTGATTCAATTTGTGTGTATTTTCGAAGTCGTGATGTAACGCGACGTTATCGCACGATGTTATCGGTGCGAAAGAATGTGGACGCGATTATCATCTACGTCGATTTACGCGCTTTCCAACGCATTCTAATCGACGTGGCAGCAAACAGAAATGCAGCCGAAGCGACGCCTGCCCACCTGTCCTCGAATAAACTTCCCTTCGGCGCATCCTGTACACGTGTAGAACGTATCCTGTTCGGCCTGCGGGCAGTGGCAGTATTTGTTAATGCTCGTGCGCGATCAGCGCGGCGCGGGCTTCGTGCAAACATGTCAGCTTGTCGCGCCGCAGTGACTCCACACGCGGACAGGGACAGTCGGCCCCGGCCGGTCACTGTTGCATGTCACGACACTGTTGCTATTTAGCCTTCCATCACTCCTGTCTTTTATGCCACTCACGTGACACGCGCATTACCGACTCTTGTGGAAGCCGCTTTCCGCGCTACTGACAGGTATGTTTTATACCGTATACGCGCCCGTCGTGACCCGGGCAAATTGGATTTTTCCATTGCGGCCGGCGCGGGCGCGCGCGCGCGGGTACGATCTGAGCGAAATGATTTAAGCAATTTCCAGCGACCGGTCGACGCTGGATAATTTATGACATTCAGGTGAAATCTTCTTCTTTTCGTTTATTAGTGTCACGAAAAAAAAAAAAAAAAAGTATGACAGGACGCTGATTTATGTGTAATAGAGAAGTGATTTAATGTTTGCGGTTAATATAGTTTTTTCGCTTTATCGAAGTCCGAGATATTTGTCACTTTTTGTTTGCATATCTGTCGTGAGGTTTTTGTTTGTTTATTTATTTTTTAACCAGCTACCAATATTGAATTTTTACGAGCACATATTTCATTAATATTCCTCTCCGCTCGGAAAGACGAGCCATCGTGATTCATACAACCTGTCCTTTGTGTTTAGCTCGAAGGAAAGTCCGGGGGACACTTACAGCATAAATAATGATATCTCCCTCGGTCCGCACTCAGCGGCGTTCTGCTCCCCAACCAATGAACGACGCCCTTCCTATCATCGAGAGTGACTGACAAGCACTCCATCAGCATCATATTTCCTAAACATAACAAGATTAGGTCGCATTGTGACGGCACTCGAAGCTAATTTACATTCTAATCTCCACACGTTTCCGTTCTATCTTCGAGTCTCTCTATTATGTTTAACGATGGCATTTTTATGCTACCCATTTTCGAAACACGTCAAAGAGTGTGATGCATCTCGAAATGGCAGTTTCTGTAATAATGGCCGAGGGAAGAATGGTTGTTGGTGTTATTTACATAAACATTTTTCTTTTTTTTTTTTTTTACATCTGTGAATGTAATAAACTTATTTAAATGACGCAATTTAAATGACGAGGCGTGACACTGGTAATAAAACAGGATTACTCGAACGATTGTGTGAGTGAGAGAGAGAGAGAGAGAGAAAAAAAGAGGAATGTAAATACACGAAGGAGGAAGAAGAAAAATGAAAAAGATTTATATATATGTATAACGTTGGAATATCTTGAATAATGTAACTCTCTCTCTCTCTCTCTCTCTCTCTCTCTCTCTCTCTCGCAAGAATGGCTCCACGTTGACAAGATATCGGATTAAAGAAGAACGAGCGAGAGCGGACTATCAAATGAAAGACCGCGTCAAATGGAATTAGACACGGCTTGGCGGATTAACGCTTGGCTCGACGCGCCGTTAGAGGATAACAATTTAGAGTAAGCGCAAGCGGATTGACAGTGGCAGCGTTTGCGAAATGTTCGCGCGAGCCGTCATCTCGTATCGCACAATCTTGGCAATTATCTCGCTGATGTCATACACATTTAAATAAGTCGACAAAATGCGGTTTTTGCACGCTGTTTCGAGCGCTTGTTGTTTTTGCAAGCAAATTGCACGCGCTCTCTTTTTTTTTTGTAACCGCGGAGATCAGAGATAATAAAACTGCTACTTATATTGATAATTTGCTACAATTTTTGCTGTAACTCCTATCTTTTTTTCCTTTTCTCTCTCTCTCTCTCACTCTCGTTCCTTTGTCCTCCAACGTGACAGATTGTGTAACCGTTTTTCTATTTATGAGTACGTATCGTAAAACTGGCCGTATTATGGAACCGTATAATGTCTCATTGTATAGGCGGATATACACGAGGCAAGAGGACACACGAATATCAACGTAAAGCGGGGCGAATCCGGGGCTACGAGCAATCTCGGCAGTGGATCGGCCAGCGGATGACAGGTATCGACCTGGATCAACATCATTTTCCTGTGAAGTGCCACCAGCTCTATCCTGCCCCCCTTCTTCCCTGCCTGTCCGTACGTCTCTTCCCAGTCTATAACCTACGGCATGTGTATATAAGCTCGCGCAGAGAGAGAGAGAGAGAGAGAGAGAAAGAGAGATAGAGAGAGAGAGAGAGAGAGATCGAGTGAGAGAAGCTGATGAGAGGGACGAAAGGTAAGACGGAGATAGAGAGAGAATTATTAGCTGGCTACTCTACTCCACTACCTACCGTGTTTCTTGATTACTATCGGCGCAGCTGCGCCCACAATTTGTGTTCCCCGTCAACCGTGCGTAAGAGAGCCGTCCGTCAACGTCGTGCCCATAACGACGCCACAGTATGATGCTGAGACGCCGCTGATAACCCGATATAGAGACACGTATAAAGCGTTCTCTCGTATGTAATGTATTCTTTTGTCTACCCGCGGTTGTGTCTTTGCAAACCGCAGCCGCGCGTACAGATTTAATAGTCCCCGATCTCTGACGACGGAGAGAAGACGACGGACGGCCAACGCGCGGACAGATCGTTAACAAGCGCGCACGTGCCTATAAATCATAGTTCCGTCAATTAAGCACGATTAATGCAAGCATTATTTATCGGCTAGTAAATATCGCGAGCGAACGTATAATCGCACAAAGACATATTTTACGCGTGCAAGTGGCAATTAAGTGGCAATGAGAGGGAGAGAGAGTGAGAGAGAGAGAGAGGGAGAGAGACGATAAAATTATCTCTTCCTGTGTCGATCCGCGCGCTCGCAATTCGTATGACAATTATATATGCGTGTATATATAAATGAGGCGGCGCGGTTACACAACCGCTAGAATAGATACAATGTATCATATAAACGCGTCTGTCTTCGCGAGACGTAATTGCTATTTTAACTGTTGGCGATTATTATTGAGAAAAGCCGGTGTCATAGTTACACATCTATCTTGGGCATCTCGCGAACACCTTCGGGCGTGACAAATTGCGCGTTGACACGTAACAGCGCGATTACATTGAATTAATTTTTTTTTTTCTCTCCTCCTCGATCGCCAGGCGTTATTTAACAGAATCGAGTCGCGAGCGTAGAGCCTTACCTGTTATGACACAGCAATAATTTGCTTCATATCGATGTGTGTGTGTGTGTGTGTGCGCGCGCGCACGATGTGTGAATAATTAATAAGTTAGATGTGAAAAACGTAAACCGCGCATGATTTCCGGTGATTATACTCGAAATTCAAGAAGGAAATAAATTGACTTCAAAGTTTTATAGACGATTTTCAGAGTAATTTCAGTGTGTGCTTTTACGACGCGCACACCGAGCGCGCTATCACGTGTAATACGCGACGTAAACGTAATTTTGCATTTTAACGTGTTTTTTTCATTCCTCGTTTCTGCGTTTTGCAGAACTTTCCAGATTTCGGTGTCGTACTCGGCGGTCTTTTTTTCCCCACCCTGTTTAATCATAATTTTCGAGGTTATCTGGGCGGGACTGCGAACGTGGTAGAAATGGACCGGCATTCGTTTTGCGGCTGGAAGAGAAAAAATACAGGACAAGAGAGAGACAGAGAGAGAGAGAGAGAAAGAGAGAAAGGGAGTGAGAGAAGTAGTTTGAAATTTACCGCCGGCGGACAGAGGAGTGGCTGCATGGCGGGCTGTCAGCTGTTTTCCGAATTCTGTCAATTCTTGTCAGTTGCATCGACCAGTTTAGCATAAAAATGCTGTTACGGTGGATGGTCGGCTTTCGAAGGCTTTGGCCGACACGGTACAAACGTATCGTATATCAAAGCAGGCGGTCACGAACGGTGGCGGGGGAGGGAGGAAATAAGAAAGGTTTTATTCTTTTTACGACTACGGTCGCCGTGGGCGGCGTCTGATATACGATCGGTGTTCAGCATTTTGTTGACGAAAAAGCTACCGCGTATATTAAAATGTAAAAAGTATCTCTCTCTCTCTTCTCGCGCATGTATACGCAAACATCTTCAACAACATATCTCACACGCGCTCACGAAGTGAATCAACAATCTGCGAGTTTAAAATTTATGTACAATTTTATATACCGCGCGCTCTTGTGCGATATTGTGCGTTTTCATTGCGAAATTCGCGGCTCCTCGAGCATGTCCGCGCTTGTAATAACACGGCGCAGGTGGGCGCTAGATCTAATCGAACACGCATACATGAATTTCTATTTCGGTCTTCAAACGAGGCGAGCTGCAAAAGCGCGCGAGCGCTTTGCAACGGTCTGCGCTTTCCCGGATTGAATTTCAAGTGTGCGAGAAACACGCGTACACACACAGACGCACAGAATCGTCGCTGATTTATCAGTCGGACGTATCGTCGGTCAGGTGTTAAACAAGCTGCCGTATAAAATTCCACGAACGGAATTCATTAAACCCATTCCCCGCTTCCCGAAAACTGATATCCGCGCGCGCAACACCCCGGGAGTGGCGCAAATTTCAGAGTACGTCGTACGGGTTTTCGGGGGCCTATTCCCCGGATGCCTATTTAACTACTGTAGTTAACGTAATATGACATCCGCCGCGGCGAGCGATTACGGGGGAACACGCGATGCAAATTTACGGTATTATCGTAATAAACAGGTTATAAAGGTTGATAGCTTCCTCGTGTATTGAAATTACACCACACTGCTGTGCCGGCTTTTACACGTTCGCATCCCGTTCGCGGCCGCGCGCGCGCGCGCGCGCGTGTGTGTGTGTATGTACACGTGCGTGTCGCGTGTGTACGTGCACGCTATTGCGCGCATGTACGTTTCTTCACGCGCGCGCGCGCACACACACACACACGCACACGCGCGCGCGCGCGCGCACGTCGGACGTATACAAACCGGGTACGTTATTAAGAATGTTAACGTATGCTCGTGACGGGCTGTCAGGAACCCCCTTATCCGGCTGAGCTCGCCTCGGCTGGCAGATATAAATATGCAATAGCGCTTGTCATGCGCAGCGCCTAATAATTGAATGTATAATAAAGAAGGCGTCGCTCGGTGTCATGCTGACAGACAGACTACAGAGAGACTACGAGCGAGAGGAGCGCGCAGACAAACGTCGACTGTCAATTTCATTTGCTTCTTCCAGCGAGTTGGCTGTCTGCTTATCTCGGACGTCTACCCGCGATTGCTCCCGATCGTCGAGAAACGTGGAATCGACGCTCTTCCTGTCCTTTACAAGTCGTGCATTAATTAGAAGATTTTTACTTCAATTCTCCCTCTCTCTCTCTCTCTCTCTCTCTCTCTCACTTGCTTCGTAATTATACTCAAAACCGACACCTTCGATGGCACTCGTCATCGTTTTCTTTTTTGGTTTTTTTTCCACGGACATATTTAGCATATAGCCGTCGATACGTCGACGTAAAGTATTAATTAAAACGGAATCAGATTTCATATCCTATTCTAGATCTGTGGAAGTTACGCACGTCAGACAGATATTTCGACTTCTTTTTTTCTTTCTCTCTATCTCTCTCTTTCTCTTCTCGCGTCGTGACACGTTGCCGAACATCGTCTGACGAGCGAGCGTAACGGGTGACGATAAAAATATCGTTCAAACGCGCGCGCGGGCGATAGGACGGTGGCCTCTCTTTATCGCTCGCCGAAAGAAGAGGGCTGTAAACGGCCGCTTCGATATCCATTTGAGACTGAGTGTGCTCTCCACTTCCGTGACAGCTAGGCAAACACTGAGCTGACGTTTAGAATAGCTTTTATTTATTCTAGCTTGTTTATTTAGGCTGCCGGGGATCGCGTTACCTGAGAGGCTTTGAGTGGCAGCGGGAGGGAAGGCTACCGTGTCAGCACCGGAGACCTATTGTCACGCATCAAGCCGTTCGTCGGAGAATGCGAGCGCGTGACGCAAGCGATAACTGTGACGTTTCGTGCATGAAGATTACGAGCTGCGGATTGAAAATAATATTTTGATTGTGAAATATATTTTCTCCGTTGTCGCACGTTCTCTCTCTCTCTCTCTCTCTCTCTCTCTCTTTTTCTCTGTCTCTTCTGCTTCATGTGGTTTCCGCCCGTCTCGACACCAAACTGTGTTCTCTGGCTGCGTTTCAGAAAAGAAAGAAGAGAGAGAGAGAGAGAGGAGAGAAAGAGAGAGAGAGAGAGAGAAAAAAAACGACGAGGCACGTGTAGCATATTTACAATGCGTCACTCCGTTGTTAAA